CTGTTTGTGCTGCTACCTCTGATGCTCGCCTTAAAGACTTCTCTAGACCACTCTGTCAGACTTTCATCCATTCTCCACTCCTTCAAAAAATCTTTGAAAATGTTCTTCTTTAGGAAAGCATATCAATTAAACTGTAAACAGCTTTCTCTCCACGCACCCTGATTCCTCTCTTGCAACTGTCATCAAAACACTAAGCCCTCAGTGAATACTATCCTAGCAATGTACATTTCTACCCTACCCTTACCTTTTGTGTCATTATACCCTCTTACTCTAGCATGTAAACTCATTGAGCAGGGCCCTCAATCCCTCTGTTCCTGTGTGTCCAACTCCCCTGGTTACAAAGCAGGGTCCTCAATCCCTCTGTTTCTTTGTGTCCAACTTGTCTGGTTACAAATATGTGTCTGTTAGTCCACCTATAATAAGGATAAATAAATATTTTGGATCAAATTCAAATATATCATCAGAATGTAAAATATAATCTTAACTTCAGTATATAAATGCTATTTCTTTCAAGATCAGCAGTCTCCCAAGTTTAATTTAATTTGTGTAAAATGTTCCCTTTCTTTATTGTGACTATTAAAACCTGTCAACTCGGCCTCTCCATGCAGTGAATTACTAACCTTTTACTACTTTTAAGAGGAGTCACTGATGATGATAACTTCTGTTGCTTGTTTCAAGTCTCCAAACAAGTTGATTATATTGATATTTGTTTATCACATACATTCCAAGGGACCTCTTTAACACATTAAAGATTCAATCTAAGCACCATCACAATCTTGCATGATTGCACATGAGATGGTGCACAGAACACCCTGAGCCCATTCTTAGTGGCACAGAACTACAGATATTTAAAGAAAAAAATCTACGAGTGCTTGAAGTTCAGTCTTCCGCTGTCCATCAAGCAGAGTTTCCTATCAGTTCTTAATTCTAGTTCCAGGCCACACTCAGATTTTGGACTCAGCCTGCTCTCCTCCCTGGAGAGATATAATAGTATGACTGTTTACAGAAGTAGAAACTGCTTTTTGGAATAAACTGCTGGTACTTCTACAATGACCAGAGTTTACAAGATAAGAAGAGACTCTGGATTGGAGTGTTTCCTTCTAAATATGAAAAGTTCTGCTTGTAGCTATACACACACACCAAACAGCACATCAAAGGGTACTTTGAATGTATTAGAAGCTATATTTAATTATTTATTTATTTTCTGCGTTTTAATATGTTATATAATGCATACAAACAGGGATCATTTTTACACCGTATTTTCCCTTTAAGTAAATGTATTGCACAGCACTTTTTGCATCCCTTAATGAATTTTTCTTGGGAATTGGTGCATTAAATTTCACTAAATTATTCAAGGTAAGTTTTACCATAGATTTATAAAGATTGAGAGTTGCAGCTGCTGATCCTCATTGCATTTTGTTACAAATGTCTCTCAAATAAAACTCTTTGAGTGCCAGAAAAATGGAATACATTGTTCAACATATAGATATTAGTGGTTTGGAGGCAATATGTTGCCATTTAACATTAAAATTGTGTTAATGTTTATTATGGGTCAATTTCTGTTTGTGTCTGGCAAAGACACAATTTAGGAAAAGATGCAAAACCAGTGAACCACTCATGGACAGCTGTTTCGTTGTTAACTCATCAGCATGAGGTTGGTTACTGGTTTGCTTATTCAATCACAATTTGTCCCCACCATAACCTATTTGGATTTTGCTTCCCAAGCACTACCAAGCCTCAATAAGCAAACCAGTAACCAACCTCATGCTGACGAGTTACATTAACAACAAAACAGCTGTCCATGAGTGGTTCACTGGTTTTGCATCTTTTCCAAAATTGTGTATACTGCAAACACAGATTAAAATGAATCCATGTTTAAAATGGAATGAGGCAAAAATGTGATTCTTTGTTAAACTAATTTGCATATGCCCACCCAGAATCCTTTGCGGTTATAACATCACTGCAGATTTGGGATATCTGTGGGAAAAGCAAGTCTTATGGCTTGACTGGTGTGCAGACTTTTGTTTAACATTGTATTAACTATATGTGTATATATATATATATATATTCATTTTAATTTTCACACTTCTGTAGAACTTTAGAAATATTTTGTAAATACGACCACTTAAACGGTTGCTTCAAGCATATTTTTTTTAAAATAAATTCAGCTTTTGCGTAACAGTTTTACGTTTATAAGTACACATAAAGCAATCTACAGTTGCTTTGGAAGCTTTGTCAAACTTTGTGCCACAGCATCCCCAATTTCATGATCTCCAAGTAAAATCTCCATGGTTTAGTTAACATTTACCCTGGCTTTTAACCCCTTAAGGACACATGACATGTGTGACATGTCATGATTCCCTTTTATGCCAGAAGTTTGGTCCTTAAGGGGTTAAATGCCTTCCCACGTCCTACCTCATGAATCCAGTACATGGGGATCAGAGCTGGATTTACCCTCTCTGCTCCACAAGGCCAGTTTCCTCAATGCACAACAGCCCTGTCCATATATGACGCTTGGTGTATGCGATTGGATGGATAGATGTGGGGTATGACTGTATTATGAATATGATTTGGTGGTGGTGTGGCCAGGTATATGAATGTGACAGGGTGAGTGGGTTTGACTGGGAGGTAAGAGGTGACTGACTGGGTGGATAGGTGAATATGATCGATTTGGAGTATGTGATTGGTTGGGTGGCCATGACAGTGTGCAGTATGAATTTAATGGTGTGTTTTTATAGAGTGCTAGTGTGTGCATTTAGTGTGTATATATATATATATATATGTGTGTGTGTTTTGTGCACTGTTTCCAATTACCATCTGCCCATATTTCTACATGCCACTCTATTAATTTACCTCTCCCTCACTTGTGTTTCTATCCCACTTTACAAACGTGTATTCCTAACACATTAGTGCCCTGTTAAAGGTGTAGGTGCCTGCCCCCGCCTTCCATAAGGAAATTAATTTAAAAAACAAACTATTTTTGTTAAATGAATGAAAGTCAAGATCCCAGTCACTTCCTCCTTGGAGAGGCTAGTGGGAAAGAGCACCGTCGAATGGATTAGTAGCCAAGCAAAAAACCCAACATTTACTAATATCCAGAGAATTGAGCTACTAGATCCAGAGAGACACTTGTTGAGGGTATAAAAAGTATCTGAGAGCCAGGTAAATGATTATCCTCTTGTGGACAGACAGTTCCAGGAATAGAATATGGGGAAACCAACTCCTATTAATTAAACCAAGAAAATATTACATCAAAAAAACAATTTTTCTTACCTTTTCTTTCTTGCTCTGTCACTGCGCTGAGATGATCCGTGTTCATGATCTTAGTAAATCCAATGCTTTCCCATAGGAAAGCATTGGGATACTAGTGCACATGTGCCAATCATATGGTCTCTATGGTTTCATTCAGCTTTTTGAATGGAAGCCCCTCTAGTGGTTGTTAGAGTGACAGCAATTAGGAGGCATTTAAACCCTGCAATGCAAACATTGCCGTTTCTACAGAATGGCAACATTTTCAGCTGGGTTAAAAATGATGGATGGGGACATGACACACTTCATTGAGATTAAGTGATCTGGATGCCTACAGTGTCTCTAAGTTCCGCCGCAATCAATCGTTCCTAACGAAGTGAAACATATAGGGCACTTGACCACTGGCCGATGGTGCATTCCAGAATCCTAGTCTTCATCTCATGCTTCTCTGCAAATATAAAGTATATTGAGTGCTCTGGGCAAGTCAGATTGTTTCACGGCTATTTCATTGCCTGCTGTATATTGCAGCAGACAGGGAGCCTATATTCTGGAAAGCTCTAAGTGTTTGTAATGAAAGTCTGCAAAGTGGAATGATTCTGGTATTAGCTCTGCATTCTCCTAGAAAAACTTTTTCCAAAAAATACTAAGGAGGAATGGATTTAGGATGCAGCACAGAAAATATTGCCATTAAGATGATAAAAGCTTCATTATTCACTGACCTATTTATTTGTGGAATATTAAGCAATGCATCAGCATTATCAACTTCTCGCTTAATGCAAGTTTATCAGGCAGTACATATTTTTATAAGAAATGCCAAGTAGAGCAACATTTTTATTTTGTGAATGTGGTTTATGCTGATTGATGTTTTAGCAGTTCTAAAGGGATCTTTAGAATATGAACACTCCAGATGAGCTTTATAGACTTAGCAGCAATTACTGCCACTAAAGCACCATTTTTATTATTGTTATATATTTACCCTCTCAATGTTGCATAAGGTCACCAAAAATGTAATTCATTCTAGCAGCTAAAGAACATTAATTGAAAGCCGTTTTCATTGCTGTTTAATCCTTTGAGTGACAATGGGATGTTCTGACTATAATTAATAAAATGGGAATAATCCAAATCGTTTTAAGGGTACTTATCATGATACTTATAACATTTTTAAGAGCATGGATTCTGTCTGTACATTGCGTTAGCAGATTTGCTTGCAAATCTATCGATTGGGAGAAAACCCTATTTAAAAATAGATCTTACTCCCACCTGTCAGTCAGTTCTTTAGCATACACTTACAAAGGAGGTTTGCCCTGCATGGGGAAGAGTCCAAAATCAGGTCAAAATAAATAAGACACCAGGCAGACTGGAGGTGGGTGTTAGGGGGGAGCGATATCCACAAACATAAGGACATGGCAACTATGGATTGGAGGTGAGGTATGTTTATATCTATATATTTTACAATGAATACATCATGAATTTACTATATTGTTTATATAATAGGCCAGCTTGTCAAAGTTATATTGTTGTTTATATCAATTGCATTTTTTGTTTGACACTTTGCCAAATTATTTTAAAGGGTTCGCCCAACGTCCGTCGTCACATCTGCTTTTTGAAGTGGTCATAGAGGAAGGAATCTGTGCGTGCCGTGTTTCTGCTTGAAACACTGTTGATCCAGAGATATTTGCACTTTTGTGCCGAGCTAAGTTACACCCCTGGGACAAGGGACTTTGGCAGCCCAGAACTCTGTTCCAGACTGACAAATGTTGATTCTGTGCAAAAATATCTGTAGCACTGTGCACTGTAAGCTGGCAGTAGAGGTAATCTGATTCTTCACTTGCAGGCAGTGCGTACGAGCACCAGCAAAGTGAAATCTATGGACTGTGTTTGTGCGACTCTCCCGCTCACATTTCCCTTGATGTACATGAATAAGCCCTGAATAAGGATGGATTTTATGCAATGTACCCACGCTTTTTTTTGTTTTGTTTTGTTTTTTAGTATATGTAATGATTGCTTGAGACTGAGCAGCTGTCATTACCTGTGCTCTATTAGATGCATTGAATGCATAAATGTCTATTTAACTTGTACTGTTTCTAAACATTTAAAATCTCACAGTTTTATTGGATCTCCTGATGGTTCTTCCTTTGTTCCTGGCTTGTATTTTTTTTAATTTAATTTATTTCTGCATTTCCCCATTTACGCAATCCTCAACTCAAAGGGCATCACAAAATGTCTATTTAACAGGTGCACAATAGGAGCTTTGGGATGCCCTTGTGTTACTTCTCTGACCTAGAGTCTCTCCTGCTATGACAACATCATAACAGAATGGCAGTGTTTTCAACTGCATGGTTACCTGATTGCGACTATATTGGTCTGTTTTATTGCCATTCTAGAACCATATCGGGCTAGACATGAGATGAACACAAACCTTGAAAACTGAATAATATATGTTCTTATGATGCATGCGCAAAAATTTTTGTTGCTTGTTAAGGGATCTTGGTGGCCATATTTATGATATCAAACACAGCTGTAAGGTTGCGATATTACAATAAAGGGTACTTATAGGTGAGGAGTGAAGGACAGGAAAAATCTGATGAGAGGAAAGAAAATGTATTATAGGACAATATCCTTCTCCTTAACCCCTTAAGGACCAAACTTCTGGAATAAACTTCTAGGGTTAAAGTTAACAAAATGTATCTCAAAGAATAATCAGTTGGATATTTGGAGAGCAAAGCGTCATGTTGAAAAGGATTTCATGTTTTACCCTAGTAGTCATCTTTCCTACTCTAGGATAAATACCATCTTTACAAAAGCCCTTAATTTTAAATGGTGCATCTCTTCCTGAATACGCAATATATATATATATAGTAAAAATGAAAATCCAGCGCACTTCCTTATCTACTAAAGAGCTACTTTGGTGCTGACAGATTTTGCTAGTTTTATTAAAAACACCTAATCTAGGCAAAAAATAATGGGGGTTTAGTTACATTATATGATCATACATTGCATAAGCCTGCCACAACGTCAATGTACCCTATCTTTGGCAGGTCCTACTCTCACAGCCAACTGTCTACTAAATGAGCTACTCACTTGGGGAAATCCTTCCATCTCAAGTTCTCAGCATTACAAGGCTAAATAGGGTCCTGAGATGAGGCAGCTGTGACAAGGAGGGGTGCAAAACCAAGGAGCTGGCTAGACTCCTAAATATATATATATGGGAAAACAAGGGGCTGGCTGCACTCACCTGAATATATATATAGTAGTCTGATCAAGCTCCTGCCTTTTGCATACTTGAGAAAAATTCTCGACATAAAATAAGAATGGAATGGAGATTAAATTAATACAACTTTATATCCGAGATTGCTAGGCAAGACTTGATTAAGGAAGTACAGCAGTTTCTAGAATTAAATTATAATAATAAAGTTACAGACTCTACATTATGATGTGCTCTAAATTGCTCCATAAGAGGCTACTTGATTAAATCCGATATTTTTTTGAGATAGCAGAGAAGATCACTCTTAGATATATACATCGCACTGGCTAATCTCGAGAGCAAGAATAATTTAAACTCTTTGCCAGCATTCAATCAAAGTTCCATCTTCCACATCCGGAAATATTTTCATATCTTAAAGTGAAGATTTTCCTTCTTGTAAATCCTATTGCTCCTCCATCAGATCTTGATGCATTTATTAGGAAATCGTACAATACTAAAATAATTTCCAGGCTAGTTGACCTATTGACCAGTACCCAGACTACCAAGTTTAGTTTACATAAATTTAAAAAATCGGTCTCAAAAAATTGCTGGAGATGCAACTAACCAGTAGCAACATTGTATTATATTTGTGGGACTGTACAAAACTGCATAATATAAAAAAAAAAAAAGTTTACCAAAATTTTTATTTCCATTCTTACCCCAAAACTCTCTCTGAAACCTCAATAAAATTTTTTCCATGATGGAATGGTGTCAATTAGTGTTTTGGATTCGTTGTATGTTTGACTTCATTACTCAGCCCTCCAAATGCTCAGTCACATTGCAGGTTGGATGTTGGCATGTACCCTTTCTGTACTGTTCACAATTTACTACTTTCTCTGGTAAATTCAGCTCATAACACACTTTAAATACACAAAAATAAGTCCTGAGCTCAAACTCCCATTACTCCTGGGCGGCAGTAACGAACATAGCACACATCAGCCGATGAATACAGTAAAAATCAAAGAAAAAATATAGTTCCCTGCGCACTTCTCAAATCCCTATGCATATTTAAATAAATGGAGGTTATTTAGTAACTCCAACGGCCATTAGATGTAAGCCCACCTGCCACGTCAAGGCAAACCTCTTAGGTGGGTCCTAAACTAACAATTCACCTTGCTTCCTTGAGCTTCAGGCAAAGATATTTCTGATGAGACAAAGAGGGGTATTTTTCTAAACCGCTACATACTTATTAAAGCGGCACTGTCATGCCGAACTTACCTTTCCTCAATCTCTTCCTCTTCTCCCCCTCTCTCAGGATCTGTTCTTCTTTTCTTCCTGTCTTCTTTAGTTTTCTTTAAAATCATAAGACAAAGAAGGGACTCTTTGCCTTATGGAGGATTCCTCCGCTTGACCAGCTCTGACCAGCGGAGGAGAAAAGTGTGCTTCATTTCCGCTGGTCAGAGCAATTTTCCCATGATCCTTACCTTCCCTCTGTGTTCCCACAATGCTTCCTGTCACTTTACACAAAACTGCCGAATTACGTTCTAACTGAATGACAACAGTATGTTCGTTTCTTTTAGAACGCAATTCGGCACTTTATTCGGATTGGAATTTCATTCTAATGAATGAAACTCTGATCCTATTCTTGCTGTGGCTACATCTTGCAGCCGCTTAGTAGATAACTCCCTAATTCCCACGGTATCAGGGAGCTATCTACTAAAAGGCTGAAAGACCTAAATTGGTCTTTCAGCCACATTTACTAATACTGAGTAAAGATTACTTAGTATTAGTAAATTAAATGCCCCTTCTCGCTATACCGCGAGTAGGGGCATGTGTAGTAAGCAGTGAGCAGCTTATAGCTGCTCACTGTAAAAAAAAAAGCAAACAACTAACTAATAAACCCCCCCCCATGCCCGTAGGGGCCCTAAATAAAGATGGGGGGACCTACTGGCCCCCACCCCTGAGCGGTGGGTGGGGGCCCTAAATAAAGATATGGGGGGGGACTTCTGTCCCCCCCCCCCTGGCCCCCACCCCTGCACGATGGGTGGGGGCACTAATAAGCTCTAATGAGGGGGGACCACTGTCTCCCCGGCCCTAGCAGTGGGTGGGGCCTAATAAAAGCTGAGGGGGACCTACTGTCCTCCCCCAGCCCCCACCCCTGGCAGGTGGGTGGGGCTAGTAAAAACCTCAAGGGGGTAGCCTGCAGCTCCTCCCCGGCCCCACCAGCTGGGGAGACCCCAGTAAAACAATAAGGGGGGGACCTGCTGTCCTCCCCAGCCCCCACCCCTGGCGGTGGGTGGGGCCTAATAAAACAATAGGGGGGATACTGTCTCCCCACAACCCCTCTGTGGTGGGTGGGGCTGATAAGCGCTAATAAGGGGGAACCTGTCCTCCAATCCAGAGTGCTCTGTGTCATTTTACACAGCGTGGGAAAGTTCTTTTGAATTTTCCCACGCTGTGTAAAATGACTCATAACACTCTGATTGGGTGGCTTTCAAGCCACCCAATCAGAGTGCTCTGTGTCATTTTACACAGCGTGGGAAAGTTCTTTTGAATTTTCACACGCTGTGTAAAATGACTCAGAGCACTCTGATTGGCTTAAACCCACCAATCAGGGTGTTCTAAGCCTAATTGCAGGGCGGGGCAAGGCTTTATAAGCCTTGACCCGCCCTGCGGAGCTCAGTATGCGGCGTGCCCTCGAAGGGCGAACATGGATTAATTTTTTTTTGCGCTCGTTTTTTTTTTTTTAAAGTGCGACGGGTATAATGGATTTTTATTTGGCCTTTTTGGGGGCTGAAGAAAGAAGATTTTAGAAAAAAGAAGACGTCAAATGGTAAGTTTAATTTTTTTTTTACAGGTTAGTTATTTTTTTCCCCCCTCACTATTTTTAGGGTGAGGGGGGTAGGTAGGAGATAGGTTTTTTTTGGGTGGCGGGGGTGACTAGGGGCTTGGGACCCCTAGTCACCTTG